CTTAAGGTTGCTGCATGGAACCCAGAAGATGCTTTGTGGTGCCATCTTGTACTGCTCCAGTGATATACCTTTATGAAAGACTACATTAATATTTTAAATCCCTCAGGAATGAAGGTTTAGATCATTTCATTAAGTAAAGAATCCTGATCAGCTAAAGAGCAGGATGCAATTGGACCTGAAAGGAGGTGTGGAAGAGGGCAGTCAAAAGTACCAATGATAACATCATGTCCATTTGCAGATGACTGTAGCATCTACTGTATTTTCATATCTGCTATGATGTCTCATGTATATTTCTGTATGTTAACTAATTCTCTTCTTTTTCTCTCCTTTTCCCCCCACTATCATTTATATATATGGATGATATATATAATTGGCATAAATATATGTATATATCTTATATATGTTAGTGATTATAGTTTAGTCTATAGATTACAGAATATTGGAAAGTGACAGTACTAGGGAGGATCTTGGACTTGGAGCTGGATGCATTTAACTGAAAGGTCTTTGGATTGCCCACTGTTGGAGGAAAGGTTTGCTTTTAGATTAGATAAGGATGGTTGTATTATGTTAGGCAAGAGCTCTTTGTTGTGTGCGTGAGGGGGGGTGTATAAGAAAGAAAAATGTAGTTTGATGTGGAGCAGTCAAAGGGTGGTCTTAAAGGGAATGTTTGTCCATCCACCTTAGCCACTCAATATCTGAACCTCCTTCCTTGTTTTGGGTACTCCCTCATTTTATGAGCCTTGTTGTGGGCACTACCTACCTCTTTCTGGAAATGCTGAAAGTGCTAGTTATTTGCTTTTCTTATCCCCCATCCCCTTTGGTTCTCTTGCAGAAGGGGTGCAAGCACATAATCTAAGCTATAGGGACAGCTGTCTTAGATTGACAGGGAAGCCACACCCTCAAGGACATCTCCTGGTAGGGCAGGGGCTGCAGAAAGATTGTGTTTGCTGGGACAATATTGGTACAGCATCAATGAGACCATCCCACTGTGGGTTTTTTTTGTTGTTGTTGTTGTTGTTTTTGGATTATTTATGAGAGAGAGAGAGAAGAGGGACAGAGGGAGAGAATCTTCAAGCAGACTTCCTGCTGAGTGCAGAGACCCATGAGATCATGACCTGAGCTGAAACCAAGAGTCAGACACTTAACTGACTGAGCCACCCAGGCGCCCCCTGCTTGTGTTCTTGAGTGCTCATCAGTGACAGTAGTAGTGTCCTCTCTCTACTCGTTCTGAGGTGTGATAGTTGGGAGTCTGTGTTGCCCAATATAACTCTCCAGCCTTCTTGGGATTTCTGTGCATTCCCCTCTATCCTTTTTCTTTTTAATACTTTTTCCTTTTTCTTTCTTTAACTTATTCAATGATATAATACAAAGAGCCCTGGATTTGTAGGCAAGAGACTGGGCTGGAAACAGAGACTATTACCTAGTGACTATATGACCTAGGGTATATTTAACTTCTCAGAGCTACAGTTTTTTAATCTGTAAAATGGGAATAAAAATTCCCACTTGAACAATTTGGCACAAAGATCACATGAGCTAATATTTGTGAAGGTTCTTAGACCTGTGTCTGTCACATCTTGTTTTAATGTTGTTTTTGTTTTTAAATAAGCGCAATGGGAAGATCCAGTTTTTGAGCATGGAGTAAATGTGCTCTTATTGTACTATATGACTATATTTAATATTACTTTCATTAAAATGTCCTGGAAGAGAATGTTTTCTTGCTTGATCCTGAGAGTGCACAAAGTAATAGAGTTATAATTTCCAATTCTGAATGCAAGTGTTCTTTACTTTTCATTCAAGCATTTCCACAGCACATAGTTCAAATTTCTGAGGGTCATCTTGGGAACTGCAGAATAGCAAAATGTACTTTTACGTCTGATTGCTCTTAGAAAGTTTAATAAAGTCGGTGAATGTATTAACAAGTATGCCATTTATGGTGAAAGGCAGCTTATTTGTCAATTAAATTATTTTTTTACAATAGCATATATATATGTATAAATAAATTAACACCTATATACCCATCACTTAACTGAAGCCCCTTGTATAATTCTCCCCATATCCTTTCTCTGTCTTCCTTCTAGCAGTATGCTTAAAAAAATGCCTGGAATTATGTACAACAAACTTAGCAGAAGCAGGAATCATGGTGTGCTTTCACTTTCTTGATTTTTTGTAGTTCCAGTTTTTTTTAGGAGTGCATTTTTTTTCATTTAGGAAAATAATACATTAAAAATGAAAAAGAACAACCCAATTAATTGCATTAGAGCAATAGAAATTAACTAATGAGTTAGAAAACATAAATATAGTAGACTTGTTAAATAAATAAATGAAATTACAGAAGCACATAAGCAACAGTTATTTAGACAGTGATTAGTTTGTCTGGTTTAATTGCTCTCTGCGATTGGTTGTGATTAAAAGGGTGGACTTAGGAGCCAGTGGGTATAGTTTCCAACCCAGCTCTCACACTGACTAGTTATATGCTGTAACACTTTATGACTTAGTCATGTGAACTCCTTTGTGTCTTAGTTTCCTCATTTATAAAATGTGGATAGTTACAGAATCAGTCTTATAAGACAGTTGTGAGGACTGGATATATAATTACTTAGGACAGTGGTACAACAATAGTATGTATGTATATATAAGAAGTGGGATTCTGGCAAATGTAATCCATCTTAGTCAAATTGACACATTATGAAGTCCTCATATATTTCTACATTTCTCTATTCTCTACATTGGCTATTTTATTGTATTTTTAAAAATACTTAATTTACTTATTTTAGAGATAGAGATGGAGAGTAAAGGAAGGAGCAGAGGGAGAGGGACAAGAAGACTCCGCGTTGAGCACAGAACCTGATGCGGGGCTTGATCCCATGGCTTGAGATCATGACCTCAGGCAGAATCAAGAGTCAGATGCCCAACTGCCTGGGCCATCCAGGTGCCCCTATATTTGCTCTTTTAAAAACTCTTATTACATGGAGAATTCTTGTCTTCTGATTTGCTTACTCAGTTTTCTGGAGTTTCTTTTCTGATCTTCACTGCCTTTACTGATGGCATCACCCATCTTTTTTTTTTAATATAAATTTTGAAAGATTCATTGTTATTCTCAGGTAGTTTCTTCTCCCCCTTTTCCCCATTCTATTGTTTTAATGATGAAAAAGTGTCGTTAATCCTATTGAGACTGCAAGTCAAATATTCTCTACTGTTTGCTGTGTTAACATTAGCTCTGACATCTTAGTTTTTCTTCTCTCTCAATTTGCTGATTGTCTTCCTGTGTTTAGTAACTTTTCCATATTGCCTGATCCCTAAAAATTAAGATCAGTATGTAGTGGTTCCCCAGAGTGGGTATGCCTTAAAGTCACCAGCAGGCTTTATTAAAAGTACAGACACCTGAGTCTTACTCCTGGAGATTTTTCATTTGGAAGTTCTGTTGTAAGACCCAGGAATCCTACTTTTAAAAATAAGTACCCAGGGGAGCCTGGGTGGCTCAGTCATGATCCCAGAGTCCTGGGATCGAGTCCCGCGTCAGGCTCCTTGCTCAGCGGGAGGCCTGCTTCTCCCTCTCCCACTCGCCCTGCTTGTGTTCCCTCTCTTCTTCTCTCTCTCTCTCTGTCAAATAAATGAATAAAATCTTAAAAAAAAAAAGTATCCTGTACTTTGACACAACTATTGTGTATAGAACAATATTTGGGAACTCTTGACCTGGGTTGTTCAGTATGTATAGCTAGTAAAACTCATGTTGGCTGCAGCTGTGTATTTATTTGTTTACTTTTTCTTGATAGCATTCTCTCTAAGCATAGCGGTTGGTGTGTTACTGATAGGTCTTCCTTTCCTTATCCACAAGGAGTAGACAGGAGCCAACCATCAAGCATTTTCTCCGTGAATATAAAGATTGAGTGTAATAGACTTCTTTAATAGGATACCATATGCATTAAAACATACATACATATATATGGATTTGAATATTTTAGTTAATTTATATATATGTATATATATTTATATTTGAATATTTTAGTTAATTTATTTTGATTATTTACTGTTTAATAATTCAGACTATTAATTTGCCTCTGGGCATAGCTTTATTACACCTTATAGGTGTTGCTATAGTAGTGTTTCCATTGTTACTATTTCCTAAATGATCTGTGAGTACTTTTACTTAGGAGACCCTAAAAGTGTTCAGGTTGTTGAAGGTTTTTGTACGTTTTTGTTTTATTTATGCTTAAATGTTTATTACACTGTGGACAGATAATGGAATTTGCTGCCTGTATAATTTTTTACTATTTTGAGTTTAGTCAATATTTCTTTGTAGGTAGTATATGGTAAAATAATATGAATGTTCTGTGGATATTAAAATGTTGGTTTTGTATGGGGTAATCATATGTATTGTTATTTATACATCTGTCAAATTTATACTCTGGCGTTTCTTGAGTTTTTGTTATTTTTTCCCTTTATTTCTTTTAGATTTATCTTTCTATTTCAGGGAAATGTTATTCCATGTATAAAAGTTAATAGTTGTTTGAGTTTCATTATATATCTTGTACCTTCTATTAATATATTAATACCCTCTTTCTTCATTTAATGCTTTGCCTTGATTTTTGCTTTTGCTGATACTAATATAAGAACTATCACTTTCTTTTGGTTTATGTTAGTCTATTATATTTTTGTCCATCCTTTTTAACTTTTTGTGTCACTTTGTAAATGCTGAGGCAATTTTTAAATCCAATCTAAGAATTTTTATCCACAATAGGGGTGTTTAACTCATTTATATTTATTATATTATTAGGATAATCCATATTACGGTTATTTCTTTCAGAGCTTCCTTTTAAAAATGTATTTTTGCTGTTTCTTGTCTTTTCAGCCATAAACTACGCTCTTTGCTTCTGTTCTTGTCAGTGTTTTGGAAGTCATATATCCTGATTTTAATTCTATAAATGGTGACTATGTGCTTTCAAAAGCATTTAGTAGTATTATTTTTTTTTCTAATTTTCAAAGCTGTCTGAAATAATAGCTTAAAACACTAACTTGCAGAATTTTCTGGTTGTTATAGCTATTAGGTTAATAAGTAGAAGAAAGAAACTTTCCCCATCTTTCAATTAGCAATAATCGCGCCTCGGATAAACCTCATTGGCTACGATACTGCCACTGAGCAAAGCTGAAACTTTCCCCATCTTAACTCTTGCCAGTTACCACAGGAGCCAGTGGGAAAACATCACCCATTGCTGTATCTGAGAATAGTGGAGGAAACAAGTTGAGTTTTTGGGTAGGCTTGTATATAGAAGAAATTAAACCATATAGTATATAAGAATATGCCTTTTTAAAGATCATAATGTATCTGCTCCTAGAATAACCATCGCATGTTGCTCTGTTTGCTGTAACTGAATAAAAATGTAGTGGAGCTAGAAACAATTCTGGGAAAGAAAATGAAAACAATTAAAACCAGTTGAGAAGCTTCCATACAAAGCCAAATTTTAAAATAATAGATGTATAAAAAAATAAAATAATAGATTGATAGTTCCATTGACAGGATAGAACTCTGAGCCAAAGAAAGGTACATCAATATGAATTTGTAATTGTTTTTAACATAATGAATTTCTTTCCAAAATATTTTTAATTTACTAAAAAAACTACATGCAAATATCCTTGATCCCTATAACAATGAGATATGGAGATTATTGCGCCTTTTTTTTAAATTTTTTTTTTTAAAGATTTTATTTATTTAATTGACAGAGAGAGAGGGAACACAAGCGGGGGGAGTGGGAGAGGGAAAAGCAGGCTTCCCGCCGAGCAGGGAGCCCGATGCGGGGCTCGATCCCAGGACCCCGGGACTGTGACCGGAGCCAAAGGCAGTCGCTTAACCAACTGAGCCACCCAGGCGCCCCGAGATTATAGCGCCTTTGACCAGAGATATGAAGATGAGTGGAGATCATCTTTAGAATGTTATTGCTTTGAACCGTGCCCTGGCTAAAATACTTGAATTGGAGATAGTCTTTTGAGTTAGAAGTGATCCAAATGGTTCAGATGTTCATCAAATCTATCACCCTTCTTTCAGTTAGATTCACTTTATACAGTTTTGGATTATTTATGATTTTCTTGGATGCCCACAGCCAACATTTCTGCCTTGGAGGTGGTATGGAATAACATAAATAAAGACATAGAACCAAAGAGAGAAAATAATTGAAAGGAACCTACTGAAAAAGCAACAGAAATGGAGAACTTACTGGCAGTAGGACTGTTGGTCAGTTTGGTACAGCTTATTGTGGGAATCCTACAGGTGATGGTCATTTGCCTGGAATTTTTCATTAAGCCAGATAAGTGAGATGGCTGACCTGATGGTTTTGGGAAGCAAAAACGACTCATATAAGAATGCATGTCCACTGTAGGATCATAATTTACTGTGATATTTTGCATATAGTGGATGACCCAGTGAAAGGCTTAGGTTCTACAAATGAGTGGTACCTTCATCCCTCAAAGGAGTATTCTATAACAGTTCATTTAAAAAGGAAGTTTAGAAAGTATTATGCTCATGTTAGGCATTTGGTCAATAGTACAATATCTGTAGCCATGGGGCAGTATTACTAAGTAGACTGCATTGTCAATTGTTGTATTCTTTAAAAAGTGTTCATTTCCCAGCAACAGTAGGTGAGGACCATCTGATGAGAGTGACTTTTCAAATTATATCTTCAATCAGGAATTACCTGGCCAAGGAATTCTGAAAATTGGTAAATTCATTTGAAAGCAATTATGTGGAGAATTTGTACGTTAGTCACTGTGAAGAAAACCATTTATAAAACCTATTCAGCAATAGTTTTTCATATTTTAGAGAAAAACGTGGAACCACCATGACCTCTCTGGAATGTAGCCCAGGAGAAGGAAAATAGACATATGGAAGAGTTTCAGGATATGTATTCCCCATTCACAAACAACACATTTTTTTTTCAAGTTAAAAAGGTCTGACTATGTCTGTGTATTTTTTGGCATTCTCAACATTTCCCTAGTAGCTGATGAGTTACATAACTTCTGTCTGCTCTGGTTCTGTATCAGAAAGGGTGTAGCGTGAATAGGATCGTGGTTTTCAGATATGGATATCAGATCATAAGGAAAACAGCCACATGCCAGACAACTTTGAAGGTCAAGTTGTTTGCATTGTGTCCTTTCTCTTTTTTCTTGCCCAGTTGGTGACTTATTTATAAGGGCAAATAGGTTATGTGGTGACTTGCCATGGTGTTCTTGGGGAATGTATTGTGTTTTGTCCAGTCTTAGGTTAATCAAGAAAGCCATTCCAATAGTACTTGACAAGGCAGACCAAACTATTATGTGATCCATGAGATTTTTTTTTTAATTGAACTGTGATTTTTCTGGGGGACAATAATAGCAAGGGATATCCGTTTCTGAAAACCTTGAGAGACAAAGGAGGGTTTTCCAGCAACCAAATGAACATGGATTTAAAGTGAATGAAAAGAGAGAAAACCAGAGTGACTGTAGGTGTTTTGCATGTCTCCGAGCATGCGCACTTATTTATGTTCCATTGTTTGTGACATGGCATATGATGTCACCCAGTACTGGTCCCTGGAGGGGAACCTAAGTGTACCCAACGTTAACCATAGTGAGATGGACTTTGCCAAAAGTTTAAAGAGAAACACATGATTCCTGGATTGTTCTAGTATCTAATTAGATACTGAGTAGTGGGAGAATGTTGAATAATAAGAGCAGGAAAAAAAATCTGGCATGTCTTTTGTTGAAATTCAATCCTCTCGTTTTCCCCCCTACGTTCTCTGCAAGAGTCTGAAAACTTTTCAATCACTTTTTTAAAGGATGCAGTGAATTTTATCACAATTTTGTCAATCAAAACCACATGTGCTTGCTCCATTGATGACAGAGGATAACAAAATCATATTTGTTAAGACCAAAACTCAGGTAATAAATAACTGGGATGCAATGCAAAATCTAATGTTCTTTAAAAGGAACAATGAACATTGCCGAGAAATTTTATTTGGAGGGTAAAATGAACTTTTTGAAGAGAAAACCACACAAAAGTTGCATTTGTGGCTCAATGACCTTTTTTTTCCCTTATCAGACTAATTCCCTTTTTCTGTTCTGAGGTCAGAGTAAGAACTCTCCTGCAAGCTGCCCAGCACTTGTGTGCTGTCGACTAAAGTCTGCAAGGGTGTGTTATGGTCAGGACCATGTTTTAGAGCAAAGATCGGCAAACTAGAGTCTGCAGGCAAATGTGGCCTAGTGCTTGCTTTTGTGAGTCAAGGGTTACTAGATCACAGCAATGTCTGTCCGTCCGTCCATCCATCCATCCATTTATTTATTTATTAAAAGATTTTATTTATTCATTCGAGACACAGAGATAGAGAACATTAGTGGGGGAGAGACAGAGGGAGAGGGAGAGGCGGCCTCCCTGCTGAGCCAGAAGCCAGATGTGGGGCTCCATCCCAGGACCCTGGGATCATGACTTGAGCTGAAGGCAGACGCTTAACCATCTGAGCCACCCAGGCGCCCCGTGATGTCCATTTATTGACATGTCATCTGTGGCTGCTTTCATGGTCCACTGGTGGAGCTGAGTAGTTGTGAAAGAGACTGAGTGGACCCCAAAGCCTAATATATTTATCATCTGACCTTTTACTGAAATGGCTTATTAATAAGTTGCTCCTTTAGATGATTGGGAATGTTCAAACAAAATACAAGCAGAATAACTGACTCCTGGGGAACAAGGAGTAAGGATTGTGGTAACTTACGGAACATTTCCTTCTGATTCTTGGGCTGTGACATTGTTTTGTTTTGTTTTTAGTGCTATAAGGAAGACTAATCCCGTGCATGTGACAAAGGCCATCAGCAGACGCTCAGGGACCTCCATTCTCTATCACTGAAAAGATTTGCTCTTGGGTTTGGCTTTGATAGGGTAGCCACAACTCTCCCTCCCCACCCTTTACTGAGAAGGGCCTGGCTACAGCCTAAATGCATGGTAGCTGCTTTAGGAGTGTGGAAGCGTCAGGTTCCTCCTTTGATATGATCACTGTAGAATGGTTTGTCCTAGCATTTGTATCTCAGGATAGTTAAGGGCCAGTCATAGCCTTGCCTTTAGAAAGTGATGAATGTTAGGGTGTCATTTCGTCTGTTTTTATTTTTAGCTTTGGAACCTGTTTGATTTTAGGAATGCTATCAATTTTAATATGATTGCGCAAAGAGAACAAAAGAAATGTAATCATATCTTGAACAAGATCTTTGATCACTTAATTGATGAATTAAAGACTCTCAAAAGCTGTGCACCAGGCGGAATGCTTCAGATTTACCGGTAATTTTAGAAGTCCTTTGTTATTAGTTCCTTATTTCCAGCCGTCCTGCAAAAGGTATTTCAAAATGTATATTAAAGTCAAAGCCAAGCTGCCTCTCTTCTCCAGCAGCTACAGAGCTCCAGGGAACTTTCCTAGGAAGGCAATGTCAGGATATTTGGAAAGATTAATTCATCTCTAGGTGATAGGAACCAGGTTCTGTCCATCTGAAGGGAAAGAAAGGAAGGGGGAGGTGGACAAAATGAGACACCAGGATAAAAATAAAGGCTACATAACTAGAAAAAATAACCATGAAATGAGTAAGGCCTGTGGGCCTTTGCTTAAAAGAAATCAGGCCGGGGGCAGTTAAGAATTTGAATGGTAATATAAAAGGTCTCTACTCTGATTAGATATTTTCAGGTGATTAATACTCTCTGCTGTCCACTACATCATTGTTGGTAAGTATGGAGATGGTAATAATTTTAGCAGGCTGGTTTGATTTTGTGGGCTGCTTATCGAACAAAGCGGAGATGGCAAGTCCAATTTTTCAGTGACCTCTTCCAGCTCTAACTTGTTTGTGTGTCTGAATTGTAGAACATCTTTTGAGCTTACTCCTGCCACTCAGAAAACAAGCTGAATCTCTTGTGTCCAGGGGAATCCCTGGGCACTGGGGACTGCTGGTGCCTTTGTGTTTTGTAGCAAGTAGAGTGAAGAGGAAGCAAACTGATGAGCCATCAGACATCATGGAGGCAGTGTGACAGCAATAGAGTCTTTTGTTGTACATATTCTTGTGACCCAAATGCTGAAATATTTTGTACTTGGGGGCCAAAGTTTAATTTAATTAGAAGTAAATCTGAAGTCTTCACCTGATTTTAGGGA